TTAATTGGATTAGTGTGACGGAAAATAAAGTGCATCTTATGATCATTACCACACTTATCTGGGCCAAACATAATAGTGTATGGTGTCTTATCGTTAAACTGGAAATGAAGTTAATTATTATATATAAGAATAAATAAACACATACTCATTTTTGTTTATTTACCTTAGTTAAGTCTTTTGTGTATTTGCCTTCAGATAACAATTTAATGTAAGAACCACCACATTCTTGACCATCCTAAAAATTCAAATTCAACAAAAAAAAAGAAAAAAACCAAAAAATAGGTCAGTATGAACTTCTTAATTGGATTAGCAATGTAAACTAACAACCACATCGCACTTAGCACTTGCCTGTAATGTTACTTCGTATTGTACTACCAACGGCTTATCGCCGTCAAATGAGAATGGTTTGACGAGCGGTGCTGCTATGGCTGCATGTTTGGCTTTCGATTTAAGTACTAAGCCAATATCTTTTTTCCAAACAATGCGCTGAGGTGCTTCCCATTCCCATTTTCCGTCATATTTAGCTATTTCTTCAGCTGTATCATCTTTTTTGGCTTGAGATTTCGTCCAACGTTTACGGGACTCCTCTAAATTATCAAAATGATCAACAAAATGGAATTTTGAAGCATCGTATTTTGGACTCTCATAGACAAGTTCTTCGCCGTTATCACTCAGCGCACCAGTAGTTTCATCCTATAAATTGAAATATAAAATAAATTAAAAAAGTATAACTACTGGCAATAACTGATAAGTCAAAATTAAACAATTGCTTAAAATTTTAAAGACAGTTGAGATTAGATAGATATCTCAAAATGATAAAAGTACTAAACGCGCGTTTTTTGTTGTCACTAAGAGGATTTCATGAAAAAAACGTGCACAAATCGACACAAGCTTTGAAGGCTTTTATTAATTTTTCATATTTAATATTTGTTTAAATTTAATTAACTAAATGCAAATTACGTGTTATGTTTCCTTTAGCAACGAACTGAAGTTAACAAAAATTTGAGGTTAAGGTACAAAATGTACTACTGCAGCAGTTAATTAAAAATTTTTAATTAGTATCAAATTATGAAAGTATTCTAATTTTCAAATTAAATATAGATTGCATTCTGCTGATAATTTTTGAAAAAAAAACACGCTGATTGACATAAAAACTGACGTGTACCAATCAGCGCCAGAACAATTGGCTGAGGTGTGCTAGCCGCAGATCAGGCATAAATTTTCACTTAATCAATTTTAATGAACTTTTATTGCATTAAGTGTGCTGTGACCCAGTTTACTAATTTTTACGCTCAAACTCCACTGAATACATTAAATTAGATGCATTTAATTCATTGAATCGCTTACCTGTACATCCTCTACTTCGCCATCCTCGAAGTCTTCCGCAGTGTCCGTAGCAATAAATTGCAGCGAACCCAGCAGCAGAAGTGTTACAAGCGTAAGCGTTCCCGCATTGCTGCTGAAAAAATTTGTTACACGCATTTTTCACCACAAAAACTACACTGAAAAGTGTAACTTCGTTCTTTTCGTTGCTCTTTTGATAAAACGTACACAACTGAAAGAATTTTGAAATAGAAAATCTATTATATTTCCAACAACTAATTAAATTTAATTAATTTCTTTTTCCACTGACTAACTTGCGGCTTTTTTTGCTCTTTTTTCTTTCTTTATCTACGAAACTCGTGTTGTGATGCCACCTTGTTTTTTTTTTCAAAAATAGAATTACATTGAAATTTTGACATTTAAATTATCACCTGCGTCGAAATATTTATGATTTATTTTGTAATTGTGTGTGGTAAAATGATTTTTTTTATCACTTCGCTTGAATTTAGTTAAATAAAAAATTTATATAAATTTATTTTAAACAACAAGCACTATGTTAACAAAACTTAAATGATTTTATAACGAACTAATGCTTTTATATACCACAGATTTAAAGTTAATAATATGTCTGTACCACAAACTACTCATAGTAACTTTGAGTAACACTGTGTATACACAAATGCTTTCCACCAACAAATTTTTGAGTAAATGAGAGCTTCTGAGAGAGAGTAACATCCCTGTCAAAATTTTAAAATACTACACAGACTTTACTCGTACATTTTATTACAAGTAAAATTTGTGTGATGTGTGAATCAGCTGTTTTGGTTTGAATTTAAATTTTTGTATTTTGATTGGCGCGGCACTGGTGTTGTCACCAGATTTTACACAAAGCAGTTCTATGAAAATCTGTGTAAAGAGCGTAATTTGCCACATTATTTGTGTTATGCTCTCAGTTTGGACTTTACTTATGTTTTATTTTAGTTTTCCTATGAGTACCTCGTAGGACAAGCCTAATACGTAAAAATTTTATAAATCAGATTAAATTATATATTGTTAAATTGTTGTTGCTATTACTTTTTCATTAAAAATAAATTTGATTTTTATCATACATAAAATATTACATATTTATATACATATGCAGAACAAAATATAAAAAGAATTAGAAAAATAACTAACTGTTCACACGACAAAAATAGAAACAAATGCACCGATGCTTTACAGAAAATATTAATTTCATTTTCTTATTTTTATATGGCATTTACATTGGCCGAAAATGACTCATTTCAATTGAGTCATTTGAAAGTTTTTACATTCGTTGTAATTCATTTGTTCTCATTTCAAATAGTTGATTTTTCAACTTGCCTGTTGATTTAGTATTTGGCCTGTGCCAAAAAAATGTTGCACAAAGTTTAAATATATCTTTAAACCTTACAATATAAACTGAAAACATATATTTAACTTCAATTAAATACTTTTTGGGAAGTAGAAGTTCTAAAAAGAGGTGCATCGTTTTCAAGGAAATGCAATCACCAAACAAATGTTTACCTTGGTTTGTAAATTTGTCAAAAACAGCTTTCTTAAACTGTCAAAATGCCATGAAAAGCTTTTATTAATTGCATTTGGCACATATTTGCGACATATTCCAACCTCATTGGAACTCACTTATACAGAATGAGATCCAATGGAAATCATGTGTTTTTTCTTTACAAATCGAATGTTAAACAATAAAAATAAAAAATTATGAACAAATAAAATACAAAATCAAAATATGAAATGCGAATGTATATATATGAATAATATGCATTTTTAATGATTATAACAATACACACAGTCGATGAATAAAATTTATTTTAATCCACTTTGCTAGCATACATTGCTGTATAGAGGAAATGTCAAATTAATGTTCAATATACTTTGTTGCTGTTCGCTATGTTGAATGAACACATCTAGTAAAAAGGTGTGTTGACATGATGACACAGCTAAGACTACAACCAGTTAAAATGAAAATTTTATGAATTTTTGGGCGAAACAGTTTTATGACATTAATATATCTTGCAGTAAAAAAAAGTGTTGAATTATGGTAAATATTATAAGGTTTGATTTTTTATATTGTCCTTATTTGTATCTGATATATTATGAAGAAGTTGATTCAAATGTTTTGAAATTTGAGTATTCAAAACACATTTTGCATGATTACTTAAGACAAAAACATGAGGAGAATACTATGTTTTCAGTATTTAATATTGGATTATATATTCTTTAAACTCAATATTTAAAGTTTACACTCAATAATTTAACACTATATAATTTCAGATATCTATGTTTCATTTACATGGGTTCATAAATAATAATTTGTAATTTTATAAATAAAAATAAAATTTTTATAGCAATAATCCTAACATAGAAATATATGTTTATTAAAACCTGGTTTTTCTCCGAATAAAATATAAAATAAAATTAATTAATTAATTAGGGAATGTTTTAGCAGTGAGTTGTGAAAACCATCGATCGTCGGTCCATTAAAATCGACAGCTGAAATTCCTTTCGAGCAATCAAGTGTAGATAGGATGGATCAAGGTAATTGATATTTAGCAATTCAAATTTCTGAAAGCCTAACAGCATCAGAAAACAAGTAAAGATAGTTGATATTTATTGCTAGTGAAGGAGTTGAGATATAATCCAGGAAGTAGTTTAGTTAGGTTATATATAGACCTTACGTTTGGGGTCATTATACCCTCATCTGTAGAGTGCAGTAGGAGTGAAGATAGGTTGGTCTTCATTAAAATGGAGATCAGAAAATTAATGAGGCTTGTTTGTGCCTAATATATTAAACCAAATAAGGAGATCGTAGGTTGTATACTTTATCAAATAAAAGTGAACAATCGCGAATGTGGGTTATTATAAATATTTTATAAATACAGACATGGGACCGATGATTGCTAACAGATTTTTATTAACACAATGATATATAAATCTTTCAAGTTCCGGAACTGTTGTGGCTTTTGAAAATAATCGCTGGATTTCCGTTTGGTAAGACAAATGAGCAAACTAGAAGGAAGAGTTTCTTATAACAACATACCTCAGCTTTCCTATTGAGCTGATTATATTCGGGAAGCACATCAATGAGATCAATATGCCTGCGCGTATTATTCCAAATAATATATTTGACAATGAAAAAATTCTAAGTTATTAAAAAAAATGTTTCAAGGAAATTTTTAACAAAATAAAATAAATTATTTTATGTATTTCATTTGCATTAAATGACGAGAATGAAAATTATTTTTATTTGAATAAATGATAAATTGTTGACAGTTGAAATATTCAGCAGTCGTTTAAATAGATGCATAGTTCATATAACATAAGAGTATCAACCCACACCTCACTTTGGCCTTTACTATTCCGTCTCATGAACTTTTTACCCTCTAAAAACTGTGAATTGCACAGAACTTACGGAACCTACAGAACCTACAGAACGGAAGCGAAAGTGTTTTCAATGAAATGTACGACAAAATGCAAGACTGCTTATGCGGCTTGCCACTTGAGATACTTCGGAAACCTCCACATTTTGCATTCATGCATTCATGAAATGTGTCGAAAGTTTTGCCCTAACATATTTCAAATTTCATATTTCACAAATTTTATTTAAACTTTGTTTCTGATCAGATTTAACATATTAAATTCATAGTAGTCGGCTTTGACTGTTGACAGCAACTTTACCTGGTGCGACTGTACATAGTCGCATAGTTGCACTTTTTGGTAAGTTTTAAGCGTTTCCGTTTTATTTTCATACAATATATAAAATACAAAATACGAGGATTTGCTATATTTGCTAGATTATTTATGAATAAAGCATGAATTTTTCCGTTTTTTAACCTCAGGTCATTTCACACTCCCCACAATCAAGCAAAGTAAATATAAACATATACTGATATTTTAAACATCGAAATTAATTTGCATCATGCATTTAACGGGGGTAGTATTCTCAGTATTTATTATGTGAATGATTACTTGAGTTCACATTCTTTATATTCACATGCCCTGGAAAACGAAAACATGACATATCAACAGACTATCCATGTGAAGACCCCTACCCTACCCATTCTACGGAGTTTACAGTTTTTTTAGAAACAACTTACTTCCTGATTGCTAAATGTCTAAGGTTACTGGCTTTTGGTAATCCCAAAGAAACATGCAACAAGGAATAAGACTATTCAATCTCACAAAATCAAGTAACTATAAATTCAAATACTATCTAAAACAATAGTTTTATATTACGATACTCCTCAGTGACCCTTCACTGAGAATCAAGAAATACCAAGGGCACTTACTTTGTAATGACGAATCGCACTGAAAAGTGTATTAACATTAATTTGAGTGACAAGTGATTGTTAAGCTGAGCAATTCCACACCGTGCCCTAAAGATCCAAAATGTCTCCTGCATGGTTTTAGAGTGTTTCTTCGAGTAAAATGTCTTCAAATATCGTAGTAACAAATTTACTTCAACAAATTTTAATTCTTCCGTTAATGCGTCAGTGCTGTACTAGATACTATTTAATTTTTGTAGTCTCATTCTCATACAGAATGATTATTCAATCTACAAGGTATCTTGTTTGACGTAACGAAGAGTTGTGAGCTGGATAAGTTTTAATTGAAAATAGTCTGTGAACAGGTAAAGGACGCTGAACACTTAAATACGTGAGAGCGATAAATCAATATAGCTTTGGTAAATTGTCCTACTATAGCCTCTTCTTTCTCTTATTGATATAATATTGCGATATTTACACTTCTGAAGCCGTAAATTGGATGATAATTGGAATAAGTTTTTAAAATTGAGTGTCGTCATTACTAATTGTGGCTATCATTCAAGATGGTTATTCTGTAGTTCTGGTTCAAAATTCAACGTTGAATTAAACACAAAGTATTCAAATTTCGGCTCTTAAATGTCTGGTCCAGTGTCTCTTTCAGTGACAGAACCGTTTATCTAACATGTTTTGTTCTGGCTGATATGGTTTGGTTTATCTTATACATTTTGGATGTACTACTCATAAAATAACACACTTGCTGTCCTACTTAGCACTATCTAATCTCAGAGTAATCACTACTGCACGGGGCAGTACGCAGATCTTAGATCAATCATTGTATAATCACGAAGATTATGA